GTGGATGGGGGCAGGTGGGCTCTCCTCATCCTCCGCAAGAAGAACATGTGCTTTTGTGCCCTTTTGATTAATGAGGTGGTGTTTACAGTCTAGTGGTGGGTGTCTGTGATGTACACCCCCAGGAATGTGGTGCTGCTGACCACCTCTACAGCTGAGCTGTTGATGAGCATTGAAGTGGTGTATTAAATATGGAAGTAATGTCCCCCCGAGGACGGCTGCGCCTCGGAACTTCCCTTCCGGTTCTTTTCCTGGGAGCAAGATAGTTACTATTCTTAACTCAAACTGGGTAAAACCATATAAAAAAGAACTATAAAACAGGAGTAAAAAGGTAACAGAGTTTATTCCAGGTTGTATCGTTACAGGACAGAGAAATTGCTTGGAATTCGCACAGCTGTCGGCTCAAAAAACGTCAGCGAGCGTCCGGCAAAGATTGAGCCCAGAACAAGGTAATCTCCTCCTTCTTATACCTCATGAGTCTATGTGTTGCATCAGGTGGATGCTTAGCTGTCCGTATCAGAAACTGACATGCCATCCATGCCCTGACCTTCATGCATCTTGCCTCTATGCCCCAGGATTACAGATAGCTCTCCTTTATCAGTCCGGCTCCAAGATGTGCCCATATCCTGTGTATTTTTAAAGACACACCTGTGTATTTTTAAAGACACATAGATGACCTCTGTACACACAGTGACATCCACCATGTGAAGGAAGGCCTTCGACTCTGTCTAATCTGGCTAACAGATTAACAATACACATGATTTATAAGGAATAAACGTAACAGTGGTTAGGCCGGTTCTTCCAGAAGTCAACAATGATCTCCTTGGTCTTCTCCACGTTCAGGATCAGGCTGTTATCTCTGCACCAGCCCACCAGCTGCTCCACCTCCACTCTGTATTTCTGTTCATTGTCGTCTCTGACGAAGCCCACCACCGTGGTGTCATCTGCAATATTCATGATGTGATTGATGTTGAACCTGGGGACGCAGCCATGTGTCATCAGGATGAACAGCAGGGGGCTCAGGACGCAGCCCTGAGGGGAACCTGTGCTTAGCGTGATGACATCGGAGGTGTTCTGTCCGACCCGTACTGACGGAGGTCTGTTTATGAGGAAGTCTAGCAGCCAATTGCAGAGGGGCGTATTGAAGCCAAGCTGTTCCAGTTGGGATCGTTGGGACACAAGGAGGGCAGAGATAGGGATGGCCACCCCCAACAGAGAAGCACCGCATTCAACAGACGACAGCACCCGAAGTCTGACACCCACAGACCCAGGAGGAGATCCCCAGTCTGGAATGGGGGCAGGCAAAAAAAAAAGGACCAGACACCACCACAGAGAGGAGGGCAGCAGTGTAGCTCAGAACTAGCCCCAAACACCACTTTAGGCCCATCCCAAGGAGGGACAACCCCCTCAAACAGCACAGGTCAAAGCCCCAAACGGCATTCCCATTAACTGTAAACCTGCCCTCAAAGACAACAGAGCAGGTAGCCAACCCATCAAAGAGCCCACCTCGCCCCATTCAGTCACAGCCTTGCCAGGTCCCCACATCCATATAGCCCTCTTATACCCATGGCTGCCAGGCGATGGCAACCCAGGAAGTCCACCCCTACAGGCACGCCAGCCACCCAAGCCTAGGCACCAGATACCCCCCAGCAGCCGCAACCTGACTGCAGGCATAGGCCACGCACAGGTTGAGGGAAAGCAGCAAGGAAGACCCTCACCACAAGCCGAGATGCATCCGTAGCCGTCTTTCCATATTTAAAATCCTAACAATATAAATAAATTTTTTTAAATAACACAACATAATTGATCATAAACTGATTTACATCAACATTTGTCAGTAAAAGTTTCCTTACGCAAGTGAGGCTAGAGGCAAGGCTAGGTCTAAAGGAAGGAAACATGTGAATCTTATGTGAATGAAATTGACTTTAAAAGTGAATATATATCAAAGCAAGGATATATGAAAATACTTTAACATGGAAGAAAAAATATCACAAAACACTAAAAGATGCAGATAATAATAGACAGTTGACCTGATAGATGAAAAGATGGATGACCAAAAGGTAGATAGTGTCAAAAAGAAGTTATTCCTCTGCCTTTCATCTTTTTACCTGACTCAAGAAAAGAAAAGTGCAATTCTCTTCATACCTGCCAAATGCAGACTCATCCACTGGACTGACAAACACAAAGGTATGAGGGTTATCTCCACAGTGTATTGAAATTGTAAAAGGATAACTTAAGGATATGGATTATGGAACGTTGTTTTTTGCAAGAAGATACATTTATATATGGATTGTTGGTGGATAGATCTACTGATGGTGTACATGTGCAACCTTGGAACAAAAGATTGTATAAAGAACACATTATGTTGTGGGGTTTGTTTTCAAAATATCAAATACTTTTCAGCAATCAGATGCATGCATGTCTGGGTTTGTGCTGGAGTCAGGCTCTGCTGTTATTTTGTTGCTAAACCCATTTTCTATAGCTTGCTTTTCTCTAGCAAAACACTTTTTGTGAAAAGTATAATGTATTAATGGTTAAATACCCAAAACAAATGCCAAATTTATGTGGCGGCTTATATTGAAGCCTTAAATATTATTAAATAGTCGTATCACCTAGCATGGACATTAGTAGGTGGAAATTCAGAATGTTTCATCACTTAACAAGTTTCTTTTTTTTACCCCACGTGATTGTTAGCGGTGTACTTTTCAGCGCCGCAGTTTTCCATTTGGTTTAACACAATCTACAAAGATGTTATGTTCCTCCTTTTTCTCACCTCAGACTAAGGTGAGAGTTTCAACGGTTTGATTTTGCATGAAAACGAGGGGTGGGGTGGGGGGGCTGCTTGCCCCCATTTCACACTTCATAAATGACAAAGCCTGCATCTGATGCTCAGCGTTGAGCTATTGTGTGATAAGAAATTTTGACTCATGCGAAGGTAAGTCTATTCACTTTGTTTAACATTTCCTATTGAAAAGATTTTATTTTTAGTTACCCCTTAGAATTATTAACAGTTGTAAAGGTCATCAGAAAAATACATAAAGTATATTCGAATACATTGAAAGGAAAACATATGACCTTTATGAAACCGACTTAAGAACTTTGCTGGTGATTATTCTTAATTAAATGAAACACAGGGAAAAGTGCATAAAACTTTGTAAGTAGAACTATGATCAAATAATGTCTTTAGAAAAAGCTAAGATGTTTTACTGACCATAAACAATCTCTTTTCTATTGATTCTCTATTAAGATATGTTTTAACCTCAACTAAAGAGTGAGTGAAAGTGAAACTGTACACTAAATCAAAGTAGAGTTTTGTTTTGTTTTTTCAAAGGAACTTAACAAGAAACTACCTTAGAGCATTGTGTTGTCTACTTTAATGTCTTGTTAATGTGTTGTTTTGATAGAAAGTTTAAAAAAAGCAATTGAACATATCTGATTTGCGCATTCAGGTCTCAAAGCTTTGAAATTATACATATTTCAATATTTCATTCAGCTCTTAAGTCATTGTTTAAACTTAGATTGAATGGGGTTAAAATCCAAAGAGCATGTGAAAAACCTCAGAAAATTTCAAACTGAGATCTATATTTAAGGAACCTCAGTTAGTTAATCAGCTTACAATCATTTCAAAATTGTTGTCAAAATAAAATGGTTCATAATAGATAAGGAGCAAAAATAAACCTGATGTATACATTTATTTTTCGGTAAATCAGATTAGAGCAACAGTGTCGTTACTGGTGTCTGTAAACCTATTTCAGAAAGCTGTAGTTATTCAAGATGCTGCTTCCAGAGTGACCAACACTTGGAACACGGATCATAAATTCACGCATTGACTCCCTGCTTATCAGTTAATACCTCTAAACATCTTGCTGTTATTCAATCAGAGTAGTAAATAACAATAAACAGTTTGGGGCTAAAATACTTTTTCTTGTCAAATGTGAACCAGACCCCTCAGGTAATCTAACATTACAGGACCAGAACTATGCGCTGATAGGTCAGAATATTTTTTTAGTCTCCTTATCTTTTGAAAAAAACTCACCAAAAACCTCAAATGTGGGGAAATGTTTTTTCTTCTTTAAATTAGGAACAAAAAATAATATTATTTACAGCAGCTCCTGAACAAATACAACCCCAATTCTGGCGATACAGAGATCTGGTGTAAAAAATAAATAAAGCAAGAGTAAAATACTTGGACTTCCTTTCCAAACCTTTATGGAATTGAATGCACTATAATGACAAGATATTCAATGTTCAAACTGATAACGTTTGTAGTCATTTTGCTTATTGTTTTGTTTTTTGATATTTTTTGTTTGAGCAGGGGGTAATAATTTGTTTTATTTCAAAAGAAGTCATCTAGCAAAGCAGGGATAACAACTAAAATAAAATAAATTATATCATCATCAAACAATGCATAGGATTTTAGGTTTTTCTAATACTTATCTTCAGCATTTCATAAATAAAAATCATGCAATAAAGTTAAAAGTGTACCCTTTTATCTAAGTACCAGGGTATGAATTTATTTGTTCAAAGGTGAAATGGGGGTTAAAACTAAAACCTATTAAATCTAGGATGTACAAAACAAAATCACAAAGTGAACGAAGCTTTAGGTATCAAAGAAATGGTTAACTACAGTTTTATAGTGCTTTAAAGCTCATTTGTTAAAGTCAAAATGTCTTTCTTTACAGTCTCTCATCCACTGTCCAGTTTAGTAAAAACATGCTTCTACAGTTGTG